ACGTTTCATCTTGAAATCGTTCCATAATTTGAAAATTTTTGTCCTCAAAGTATTATAGTTATGTATTATTATTCGTTATGCTACAGGTTGGTAGATAGGAGAAAAACAAGCGATGAAGTTTGTTATCCCGTAAATTTCGCAAAAGTCGAAAGTCCACTCAAGCAACTTACTTTTGCATGGTAAACCCAAAATATAGTCGCACCGGCAAAAACGCCCCTCAGATTGTTTATCCGGACATACCAATCTGTCTGTTCAAACTCCTCCTAGCCGGCATCGACCATCTTTAGAAGACAGCAACAAGTCAGATAGCAAGGCAGATACAGGAGATATGGACTACGATTCCGCAAATCAAGTTAGGGATAGAAAGCCGAACTACCTTGACCAGAAAGATGTGATTTAATTAGCGACCTCGGACTTTCGAAATCAAATACTGAGCTTCTCATATCCATGCTTAAACAATGGAACTTGGCTGATGATAGCGTACAAGATTCTCCAAACTTTTTAGTCAGCGTGATGGGCTGTGCTTCTGCAACGATGTTGTTTTTCTATTTCAGGCTATAGGTATCCAATGTAATTAATAACGCCTATTCATAGACAGTTCATACCAGAAACACAAAGTTGTGTTGCTTCACTACAGAAACAACAACCCGTTTCTCACGATGACCCACTCTTTGCAAATAAAAGAGGATTACATTAATGTTAAAATGTTGCATTAAAATATTACGACTACGGAGGAGGTCATCGGTGACTTTAAAATGTTATCATTCCTCATTGGTTTTCAAGGAGGTTTCACAAAATTTTATTGTTTCCTCTGGCTTTGGGATAGCTGTTACACTAAGGCACATTATCGCACAAAGGACTGGTCATAAAGGACGGATTTTTACGTTGGAAAGAGAAATGCAAAGTGGGAGCCGCTGATAGAACATCTTAAAGTGCTAATGCCACCGCTGCATCTTTCTCTGCTCCTGACAAAGAATCAGCAACATTTTAATACCTCGAAGATCTTTTTCCAAAGCTTTCAGAGGCTAAGGTCAGGGTTGGTATATTCGTTAGACCACAGATCAAGAAGATCATAGAATATGAGGATTTTGTAAAGCTTTTGAACAGGACGGAAAGACCGGCTTGCAGCAACTTGGTTGCTAAAAATTATATTGAGTTGGTGCAGAATCTCATAACAAATTACACTAAAAGGGGATGAAGAATGTCTCTGAAAGTCTATACCCTTGATTTGCATCTTGATAAATGCAAGAAGAACATGGGCGCTTACTCGGAGAAGTAAGGCAAGCGTTTTCATCAAAGTATATTGGACTTTGAATGTTGTTTTCGAGGACAGTATAAGTAATATTAAAGCATAGGGAGAGTTTCCTTAATTGGAACACTCAAGGTTTAAATATTTTTAACCAAAAATGGATTAACTATGAAAACATTTATGATTTGATTAAAAAAAACACACAACCCTACTATACTTTTAATCATAAATTGACTTAATAGACAGCACTGTTATTGGAAGTAAATTTGTTTTTGAAAAGGTACGATTATGTTCCAATCAAGGGAATTGGTTCCCTAAATTGGAATACTTTGATTCCTTAATCAGAACGGTTGTTTCTTTAATAAAAACAGTAAAATTGACAAAAGTTGACTTAAAATGATTTTTTTTCTTTTCAGTGAAAATTTAAACATTTCATTCAGAACTTATAACATTTATAATATTATAATAAATACTTCCTTGGTAAATTGAAGTTCTACAAACAAAAATTTTTATAAAGTTTTATAAATTCAACTGTTATGACGTTTAAAAATCACTAAATAAAGTATCATTTTTAAGGTTAAGAGTTGTTACTAAGTATTTTCTAAATTGCGCCTCAACTATTTCTACAACTGATCAAGTAAGGAAAACTTTAAAGTTCCAATCAAGGAAACTCCGGACTATTTTGTTATATAATGCTTGCAGCAACTTATAAGATAAGTTTATATTGCTATTTGCTTTTTAAATCCCACCGTATTAAACAAAAAAAAAACAGTATAACCTATAGCAGTATAATTCTACGCAGCGCAATCAATATAGTGTGAACATAAAATCACCACACAAAAAAAGACGAAAAAAAGCTTTAAATCAATGCACATGCATTTTTTTGAGGGATAATTTTCAAAATCTTTCAAAACGTAAAGAATAAGTAAAATAACTGAAAAAATATAGCCATAATTCATTTTTTTTTCAAAAATAAATGCAAATGTTCCAACTAAGCTGTTCCAATTAAGGCAACATTCCCCTAAATTAAAGTATTATAGATGTGGCAATATCTCCTTAATTTTGATTTGTAGCACTTATTTATCGTTTGGTAAAGTCTTTTATTTATTAAATAGAGTTAAAACATTTATTGAACAATACGCCTTAGTGTCTGACGTGATAAGCGCGCAGCATTTCTGAAATCAATCGCCGTCGTTCAAATCTTTTCCTTGGCACATTTTTTTTTTTTTTTTTTTTTTTAACATTGATTTTTTATAACTAAAATTTTTTATAAATATAACATCTTTAAAGTTGCATAGATATTTTTACCTTTATAAAGTTTTATTTTTATTTAAAAACTGTTTTGCGGCAATACCTTAATAATTTGATTTATAGCATATATTTGCCGTTTTATAAAGTTAATCCGCTTTTCGCTTATTAAAATATGATAAAAAAAAGGCAGATTAATGTGCTTTAGTTGCCGAAGTGGTTAGCTTGCTGTGCTATCGAAGTACAACGCGAGAGTTCAAATCATGTTACAGAATTTGAACATTTTTTTTTTAATTTTTCAATTTTTTAAAATACAAAATCTTTTAGAAGTTTTATTGATATTATATAGAATAAAATGGAGTCAAATGGAATAGTTAAGGGTTTTAACTATTTATTTTTTACGGAAAAAAGATTTTTAATTTTTTTTTTTTTTTAGTTGTAGAGAATATTGAGCTGTATTTAAATATATAAAAATCAAATAATTTTTTTTATAAGTTTTTTTAAAACTTAAAAAGAATTTCAATTCGAGCGACATCAAATTCATACTAAAAAGCTTGAATCCACCAAACTGCCCACAGTTCCGCGTCCCATTTAGATATTTAGGGAATTGGCAAAGGATATTTGCGTAAGAGTGGCAAAACAATAAGTTCAGCTAAAGATTTGAATAGAGAGTGAACATTAGTAGGAAAAGAATTGCCAATGTTACTGTGGAGAAGTTGGTGTTATTGATTAATGTAAATGTTCACTCATTTGTTCGAAATAATCAAAAACATTAAAATAAAAAGCATTTTTATAATCTTCAAATTCCTTAGATTAAAATAAATATTAAAGTTTCTGCATTTACTTAATTATTATTATTAATATTATTTTTTTTTTTTTTGAATTTTTCATCTTCCGTATTTAACGATCGCATGTTTTTATTTCCTGTTTTTCGTCTTGAACAATTTTTATGATATTATTGATGTAATTTTTATGACATTATTGATAATATTGGTGAAATATCCACAGAAATGACGGGTTATGAACTTTTTTTTTTTTTTTTTGAGAGGTGGGGGGATGGGGGTGTTGATATCAAAACTTGAAAAAAAAGATCCTTAAATTTACAAAAGGGCCTCTAAATAAAAATAAAGACTTTTTAAATTTTAGTGGCGGGGGGGGGGGGGGGAGGGAATAAGGGGGATCGTTTACTGGAAATATCATGGAAGTTATTTTATTTATGTATATAATAAAGACCAATTACTTCAGTCAAATTTAAAGAAAGTTTTCAAGCTATCATACAAATCACTCCATCTAGGAGATAATCAACAAAGTGCACCTGCTCTTATAATATTTGATACTACTACTTCTGCAGCTATTGAAAGTTATTTCACTGATAGATCAGCGTTTTAAAGTTAACATATTGATGACAAAAAGTAAAAGTAAGCAAAAATAAAATGTTTGCATTGAAAATGCTTCTATTTTGGTGACATAAAATCTTTAATTTTCGGAAAAATATGCTGACTGGATTAAAATTGGCAGTCATCATAAGTTTCGTACTCAAAAAGTTTCCATTAATTAAACAAACATTTGAGACTTTGAGAGTCACATTAAGATATGCAACTTAAGTAATTGATGATTTAATTCAAAAAAGAAATCAACATTTAATAACTTGACGGTTGCAAACTAATCCATTAGACTTTCAAAGTATTTCAAAGTATTGACGGTTGCAAACTAATCCATTAGATTTTCAAAGTATTGCCAAATGAATGGTAGTAAGTTTTTTTTTGCTTTGCGTGAACTTTGGATATACGATGTATCTTGGCTGTAAAAACATTTTTACAGAAAAGTAAGAAAACAGGCATTCAATAAAAAAGATTAAAGCTGAATTTAAAAAAATTAATGCTGAACAATACAGCTAAATTCGAATTAACATACCTTTAATATATATTCTTTTTTCATTGTTAGGTTTATATTAAGTATATGAAACTTAATTTACTAAATATCTCATCAATATTAATGAGATGGTATTTTTAAGAAATAAAAATAACTATACTGAGATATATATTTATATTGATAAAGTTATAATTCTAAAGTACAATAAAATTTATTTTTATTTTAGAGGTGCTTCAGAACTTTCTTTTTAAACAAAATAATAAGGCAAAGGAACATTTCTTTTTTATCAGGCAATTTCTATATCATACACACCCTTTCGCTTAAAAAAATTCTGTCTTAAGTATTACTTTTAATTGCAGTACGTTTGACCAAGCATAAGCTTAGACGAGCACATGTTTGAAAAAGTTACCCTTCTAATTTTTTGCTTTAAAAAGCAAGATACCCAGTCGTTTTAAAACATGAGTAGAAATCAAGCGAGAGCATTGGAGCGGTTATAGACAGAATGGAGGCTCAAAAACAGTTATATTTAATTTACATAGAGCTAAAAGAAAAATAGAAACTTTGAACCATGGCAAAAGAGTATTATTTTTATACCAGACTATTTTATTTATAAAAATATAGAAAATCTTACCATTACCAATGCAAATTACATGTCACAAACTGTTAAAATTATGTACCAAAATGTAAAAATATTCATTTGCAGAACAACCAATGGTAGTTTACATTTATTATATACATTTAAAACAAATACTACCAGAATTCATTTAATTTACAGACGATTTAAACATAAACGTTTTAAATATAAATTGCCAAACTTTTTTCAAAAACTTTTCTTCAGTGTAGTTTTATACTTCTAATAAATAAACTAACGCGTATATATCGCTTAATCAATCATCGACAATATTATAACTTATTACACAATATATAAGTTTAAAAGTGGCATTATAAAATCTAATATAAGTGACCATTCGCTTCAGCCTTGAAGATAATAATTCCTTTACAGCATATGCTAGACAAATATACAGTAACTCCGTCAAATATTCCGTAAATAATTACAAAAAAAAATTAGTTACTTACAACTGAGAACAATGAAGCAAATAATGCTTATAATCTTTTTATACGTTTGTTTTCCTATCAATGCCACAAAGCTTTGCCAAAGATCAAGAAAAAAATCTTTCTAAACTTATTCGTAACTCATAACTGATTGAACGGTTTTAAAAATCTTAACAGGTAAAATAAAAGCCCAATGAATATTTAAAATGAAATTAAACCCTATAGTAATGAAATTAAGTTTAAAAAATGTCTCAAAAAAGATTTTAAAATTACATTAAAAAAATTAAGTAAAAAAAAAGTTACTTTCTAGGTCTTGCGTTTTTAAAAAAACGCAGACCTGAAAAATTTTAAGTTATATATGTATATATATATATATATATATATATATATATATATATATATATACATATATATATATATATATATATATATATATATATATATATATATATATATATATATATATATATATATATATATATATATATATATATATATATATATATATATATATATATATATATATATATATATATATATATATATATATATATATATAAATTAGTAGAAAATCACTTAGCAAAATTTTTTCTCATTTAACACTGTGTTTCATCAATAAAGACTCATCAGAAAAGAAAAAAAAAAAAAAAAATGATGAAACACAGTGTTAAATGAGAAAAAATTTTGCTAAGTGATTTTCTACTAATTTTTAATTGCTCTGTTCTTTTAACATTGAGCACTCTTTTTGTAGAATACATTTTAAATTGTTTAAATATATATACATATATATATATATATATATATATATATATATATATATATATATATATATATATATATATATATATATATATATATATATATATATATATATATATATATATATATATATATATATATATATATATATATATAAATATATATATATATATATATATATAAATATATATATATATATATATGTATATATATATATATATATATATATATATATATATGTATGTATGTATATGTATATGATAAATTGTAATGAATTGTAAATTGAGTTAAAATATAGTTATACTTTATACTCCTTTAGCTGCTGGAGAGAATTGGCTGCGTTCGGGTATTTTTTTTATTTTTTTTTTCTTTGTTTGTTGAAAGAAAAATTATAAATAGGTTAACACTATTTTTTATAATTTTTATTAAACGTATTTCATATTAAAAATTTTAAAAATTAAATTTACCAGCTTCATCTATATCATCACTGCCTTTTGGAGTGAAAACCAAGATCTCCTTGGCAAGTTTTTTACTGTGTTTTAGTTTTTGTTTTTTATTTCATTTTCGCGATTACTCTTTTAAATTTTTTTTTTAATATAGGCATGCCTAGGTGTGATTTCTTGGTTTAGCATCAAAGCCACCCTGGGCCTAAATCAAAAAGGGCTTTCCGCATATCGGCCAGAATGGAGGTAAAGACATGCCTCATTTTAAATACAAACCTCCAGGGGTCAATGTTATAAAACTTGTTACAGGCGAAAATTTTACTCTGGAATTTTTATAGCCGTAAATTTAGAGTCGTAAATTATTTTTTAATTCAATGTTATAAAATTTTTCCGCATCAAATTTTGTTGATATCTATGCTCTGAATTTATTTTTAGAAATCTATTGTCTGGATTAATAACATTCCTGAGATAAAATATTGTCAAAAACAAAATGTTTTTTGGTTGAAGTTTCAAAACATCATAGTTAAAACTAAAGTTTGTTGAAAAATCTACTTTTCTCATGGACTTGGACTGTTACAATTCTGATAAAAAATATTTTGTTATTTCAGAATATTTGACAAATCAGAGACAACTGCGAGAAGTAAAACTGTTCAAACAGTATTTAAACTGTTAAGAATACAATTTAAAAATAAAAATATAAAATTGTCATTCATTTTTTACCCTATCCCATAGCAAAATTTGTGTAGTTTTTCTTTAAAAATAACTTATACTATATTCTATAGCCATTTTGAAACAAATGGCCTATAGAAAGAGAGGTTTCTTTAGATTACCAATTGCGATTCAATGAAATATTCTATAGACTTTTTGTAGTTGTAATTCTAAGACCATTTTTTTCAAAATTCTATAAAAAATTGTGTTGATTTAAATATAGAAAATCTATACACATTTGTATATTTGTTATTGGAAGAAAAAATAGGAAAAGTTGCATAAAAAAACTTGCTTAAAAAAATGAAATAATTTTTTTAAAAAGTTAATAAAATTCTGAATAATTATTTTAATTATTTAATATTTAAAGTTTGATAACTTTAAATATTAAATAATTAAAATAATTATTCAGAAATTCATTATATATAAATATAAATATTATATGATTTATATTAGTGTCTATATAAATTTTTATAACAAAAATTTATTTAGACACTAATAAACATTTAAACGAAAAACTCTTTTGATGCTTTCTGATAAGAATTTTATCCGCAATAAGTTTTGACGTGCTTCCATAACATGTATATGAGAAACTTTGGAAACAAGTTGTACATGATCTCTAAACACTTTATGAATAAGAAGAAAAATCTTCTTATTCAAAAAGTGTTTGACTTATCTGACTTTATCAAAAATATTTGAGCTCATACCATATTCGAGCATCAAAGGTAATTTATAGAACTTTAATAATTCTGTTTTTAATTTGACCACTTGTTTTACTATTTCAAATCTCAAATAACCTCTGCATAAATTTTTAATGGAGAAATTTCATTTGCATGTCCATTTTGAGTTTGTCTAAAACTAAAGTTGATCTTATTTTTGGATCAATAAATAGTGTATTTCTCCATCCAATAGAACTTCCTATATCGTTTATAATTTGCTCAAAAACAAACTTTGGAAATCTTCAAACAATTTAAATTCCTGATGGTTTTCCTTCAGGCTCTAATGTCTAAAAGAAAATTTAAAAAATTAAACTAAAAAGTTAAATTTGTCTATTACTTTTATTTATGAAAACTTATATAGTTAGCGAAATTCAGGTCGGCATTCAGCGCAAAAGCCGACCTATCTTTGCATTAGAACAGCATACAACTGCCGACATGAATATCCTAAAGTGTCGGCATGCAAATTGAAGTACTTTAAATAAAAAATTATAAAACAATATCTTATTTAAAAATCTTATTTTGTAATTTTTTTTATTGTAATTACTTGCTTTTCAAGTTCGGGGCTGTCCATTAATTACGTCAACAATTTTTTCAAAATTTTTTCCTCCCCCTTGTCAACAATTTGTCAAATTTCCAGAGAAACCCCCCCTCCTCCTATACAAAGAAGCTACGCTACAAACTCAGCCTAATTTTCCGTTATTTAAGCAATAAAACTCAAAAAAAAAATTGTTGACATCAACTTTAATTGACCTTCCCCCCTCCCCCTTGTCAAGAATTCAGACCCCTCCTCCCCCCTATTTTGTTGACGTTATTAATGGACAACCCCTTGGACATATTTTATTAAAACAAAAATTTATTCATTTTTTTTTCAACTCTTTTTTTTTTTTCTTTTTTCTCAAATTTATTTAAGCATAGCAAGGTTAAAAAATATTACTTTTTAAATGCCTGTTGTTCTCACGCTTTTTTAAGCGCAATTATTATTTTATTAAGTTATAAAATATAATTTACATGTTTACGGTTTTTTTTAAATATTATTTAAGATCAGCTAAGTCTATTAGGAAAGTTTAGCCTTTGTAAGTTATGTTAAACACGTGCGGAGAAGAAAGATTAGTTACAAAACTTTTTTTTAATTTAATAGAAGTTAAAGCTTCCATTAAATCGCAACAGACGCAACAGTGATACAGTAAGCAAGCTTAAAACAAGATATAATGCCAAACAGAACTGTTGGTGAAAAATGAGGGTTTAAATCCTGCGGATTTCACACTGATGATTCAGGTGAACTAATTTTAATATGGTATAAAACTTCCCGAGAGTATTCAGAGCTTTTAAAAAATTGTCATAATAAAAATAAAGGCTGTGCTAAATTAGCAACAGAAACGTTTATATATATATATATTATATATATATATATATATATATATATATATATATATATATATATATATATATATATATATATATATATATATATATATATATATATATATATATATATATATATATATATATATATATATATATATATATATATATATAAACTATTTTTAGTATTTTTAACTTTTGTTTTCCCTCCATCAATTTACATATAGTTACAAGTTCATACTATACTACAAGTAAATATTAAAAAACACCACCCCTACTACTAGAGAAATAAATGCTTATTTCTCGTAGAGGTTAAACAACCAGATGTAAACTGTCTACTCATTTTGTTAAACAATTTGCCGTTTTAAACTAAATCTTCGCCTACAGCACATAAACTAAATTTGTATTTTTAAACTACGTTCTTTCTATGAGCAATCTAAAAAACCAATTAAAATGTAATTAATAAACTATAACCATTTTTTTTGTAAAAAAACAACTTCAAAAGTTTTGAAGTGTTTTTGAATCAAAACTAAAAAATCACTAATTCATAAATGTGCTATATACTTAACTGTTACAACAAAAATTTAATTGCTACATTCTTTAAAATATTATTGTCTGAAGCAATGCTATTATAAAGCAATTTTTTTTATAATCAATTAATCATTACCCTTGTCGTAACAAAAAGCAAAAAATCCAATTTTTTTTTTTTTTTTTTTTTTTTTGCCGACCTGAAATCCTAAAATCATTTGAATTTCGCTGACTGCTTATTTTTATATGTGTGTGTGTGTGTGTGTGTGTGTGTGTGTGTGTGTGTGTGTGTGTGTGTGTGTGTGTGTGTGTGTGTGTGTGTGTGTGTGTGTGTGTGTGTATATATATATATATATATATATATATATATATATATATATATATATATATATATATATAAGGTGACCATATTTGAAAAATGCCAGACGCGTAAAAGGAATAAATTTGGTATGTA